CCTAGAGGAAGCGTTATTAATATTCTGTATGCTCTGCAACCAAGCGTAATTGACTTTAACGATCGAATGATAGACGTGGCAAATAGTTAGATGATCTTTGCTTTTAATTCTAACAAATAAGAATGCTCGATAATATATTATGCTAACCATGATCACGAGAATTATTGAATTTCATTTCCCACTGCTTCGTATGATTTTCACTGGCTTGTAACAGATCCTTTGTCGACCGCCGTTCCTCTTCAAAATTATCTTCCAATTGCATTTGATGCTTGTATAATAGGGTTTAGAATAATATAGTTTAGAAAGATAGCATTCTTAAGGTAATGAAAATATATAGATGCCAAATAAACTATATTAGCAACAAAATCAAAAACTTACAGCCTGTGACTGTTTACGAAGCCTTTTTTCATTTTCAAGTTCTGATATTAAATGATCCCGATCCTCTTTCAGTTTTGCCAATTTGGTTTGAAGTAAAGTTTGCTCTTTGTACATTTCGTCTAGATTTTCCAACATGTTGACGACATGAGGCATTAGACGCTCGACGAGTGGTATACCGTAAACATCTACTATTTGTTCGAATTCATGATAAACGTTTGCTGCTATTCCTTGAAACTTTTCAGACATCATATGTCCAACTGAAGAATGCAAACTGCTAGTATCACTGGACTCACCGTCCCCGGTGCCACTCGCAAGATATATGTCTGAAAGACTGCCAATAAGACTTCCTTCATCAATGCTATCACCCACAACATTGTTCGATTGACCGAAACCTGTATGAGAGCCTAAAATTTCTCCAGATGCTTCTAGAATTTCATTGTTTGAAGAAGTCCCGGATGTCGTTGAGGGTTCTCCAGGTACCGTATCGTCAGACATCATTTTTGATATAGTAGTCCACTATCGTATTCTTTAGGATTCCACTAAAAAAGGATTAAAAGATAATTCACGATATCTAGCAGGTAAAGACCTGATAATAATACGGTAAGATGTGTAAAGAGCTTAATTTTTAATAATTAAAATTA